AGTACAGGTATTTGTGTTCAACATGTAAGAAGTAGAAAGTACAGGTATTTGGGTTCAACATGTAAGAAGTAGAAAGTACAGGTATTTGTGTTCAACATGTAAGAAGTAGAAAGTACAGGTATTTGGGTTCCACATGTAAGAAGTAGAAAGTACAGGTATTTGGGTTCAACATGTAAGAAGTAGAAAGTACAGGTATTTGAGTTCAACATGTAAGAAGTAGAAAGTACAGGTATTTGGGTTCAACATGTAAGAAGTAGAAAGTACAGACGTATTTGGGTTCAACATGTAAGAAGTAGAAAGTACAGGTATTTGGGTTCAACATGTAAGAAGTAGAAAGTAGGCCTACAGGTATTTGGGTTCAAAATGTAAGAAGTCAAAGTAAAAAGTGGTCAGAAAAATAAGTAGTGGAGAACAGTACTGATACCAGAAACATGTACTTAAGTAACGAAGTATTTGTACTCCACTACTTCCCACCTCTGGAAATAATAGACTAACAAATAATGAACCCGTTTGGAAAGGGCTGGTATTTTTGGTTGATTCGATATATTTGACCAAACAAAACGAGATAACTTGAATCATAACATTAGATAATCTTGTTAGCCTGCTATCTTTAGCATGGAAAGAGTCTCTGTACAAAATTGCCAGAAAAATAATAATAATATTGCAAGTTTATGATATTGATTTATTGGTTGATGATTCATAATTTAACTAACTGATATTTAGTTGTGTTTATTTACTGCAACTGAGCCGAAGATTTCCTTAATTATTTCAAACTAACACACATTTTTGAAACAACATATGAACATGAATGGCTTCGTGTTGGTCTTGTGGATATTTCGGCATGTATTTTATGAAAGAAAAAGCCTTTATTTTGATAAAAATATTTAATTTAAGCCTGCACGATTAGCTGTCTTAAGCTAACATTAGCACTCAAGCTACAACACCATCGAAAAATCCATCGATTTCTTTACTTTTCGTTAACAACTGAGTTAAATATATATTATTATAATGAATTCGGGACATATTTGATCAATTTAGTGGCATTTATTTCCACAGAAATCCTTTATTTCCGCATTAGCTTTCGCTCCTGTTCACCACTTCGGACCGAATCAGGACAAATGGTTACGGTTTTATACAAAGAAAAGCGATATTTGGTTTATTTAAGCTATGCCGAATTAAAGAGTGGTTTATAATTATCCACTAGATGTTATTTTGGAACGAACTGTAAGGTTTTCCCTCAATTTGAAGATGAAAAACGAGAAAAAAAGGCAAACTGAGTGGTCTGTAAAACGTTGGTTCCGCTTGGGGTGTTTCCAGTCGGACACAATAACAAAAATAAACACTATCCGGTCTAGAGAGGAAGACGCTGTTTTTTATTGATGATAAATCTTCTCAGTTTATTCTGATTTAAATCAAATAATAATAATAATAAAGGAACAGTCAACATGGAGCCGGCCCACAGAGCCCTGCTGCGGGAGCACCGGCTCTATCTGTCCGGGCAGCTGCTGGTCTCGGACTCCATCGTTCCGCTTCTGTTCCAGGAGGAGATTCTGACGGAAACCCAGGTGGATCAGATCTTGTCTCAGCCGTCAGAGAGGCTGAAGGCCTTGGAGCTCCTGACCCTGCTGCCGGCCCGTGGCCCGCGGGCCTTCAAAGCCTTCATCCGGAGTCTGGAGGACCACAGCTGGGTCCGAGAGAGGCTGGAGGCGGAGCTCCAGGAGGTAGACGGGACCCGAGGAGCCGGACGAGATACAGGTGAGCACCAAATTTCCAGACCAGAAATAATACTAAATATATATTTGTATTATGATTATTATGATTATTATTGTATTTATTCAGTTTGAATGAGCAGGATTAAAGGATCTTTATTTACTAATTTTCCTCCAGGATTTAATCTGTAATTAAATTGTTCTATTAATAAATGAAGGAAATATTCTATAAATAAAAGTAAGCCTAAATTAATGTAAAATATAACATTAATGAATATCTATTTTTATTTTTTCA